GAGGTCACCTCAGAGGTCAACCTGCACCAGCTCCCTATGGTTCAAGCTGTGGTAGACCTGGCACCTATCCCAGGAGCACAGTACCCAAGGCTGGGTTACACACATTAAATGGGATGCCAGTACATTAGCAAGCACACACACTCACACACTATGGGAGATTCAGTTAGATTAACGTATGGAAACTTCAGCAACACGGGGAGAACCTGCACCCCAACCCTAATGAAGTGTGGTGACACTGAATCATTATGACACCCATGAACATATGATTACAGGCACATAGAAATGCTCTGGTTTTGTTCATATCGCTTCTGAGAGCACAGCCTGAGATAAGAGCACAGGATCCGCCATTTATTTGACGCCCTTCTTGCAGTTTTTACGGTTACACTGATATGCGAACTCTGCCGACCACACGGACTCGTAACACACAGAGCCAGACACTGCCCACACTTAAAACAGCTAACTAAGCGTTTTGTATTCACCTTTTATCCAGAAATTATTCAAAAATTAGTAGACTGGACAAATGTAGAATTAGAAAGTTTGTTTCTCTCCATCTGTTCTCATCTTATACCCTAGATGTCAGCACTGCACTATTTACCATCTTTAAGCTGCTCTCATTCTTTCCTTCCTGTCCTTCTCCTAACAAATCCTTCCCCCCTTCTCTTCCTGCCCATGTCCTGGCTCTGCTTAGATTGCGATCTCTTTAGTCTTCTAATCACTATGATTAAGTTATGGCTTGATACATGATTATGGTTTTAGGTTCTTTCTTCCTACATGCTGTTTGTGTTTCTTTCTTGTCTATTTTTGCTGCCAGTATTTGGTAGCAAAAATAATGATAATAATCTAAATATAAAACAGTGCTGTTCCTGATGTCAGAAGATACGTGTTTCTGCCTCATTCCTGCGTCAAAGTCTTTATTTTTTCCATTCAGTGTCATCTCCCCACATAGTGCTTACTGTCCATTCCTAAAGACTGATAACTCCTTTTCAAGCAGGAGTTAATCTGACTCATAATCCAGAGCCTGTTTGTATAAATACGTCTTAGTTACCAAGCACTTTGGCCTGTATACATTTTTATATTTTATTTATCAGAGCTAAGTTGTCTGTAGGTGTGAATGTGCCTGTGCTACACAACACCATCCTGAGCTGTTCCTTACTTTGTTTCTTAGATATTTTCTGGAACCAACATTGTGTAGGACTATGGAAGATGAATAAAGCAGACACTGTTGCAAGTGAAATCACTCTGCTGACCCAGGGATTTGAACCAATAACCTTCCAATGAAAGACACAGAACTCTGATCCAATAAGCCACACACCATCCCTTTACGACTTCTATACATTAATATAGAACAGATACCCTGGTGTTCACTCCCCCCCCCCCACCCCATTACTGCTTGCCGACTAAGGCTGGAGTTGCAATCACAGCTATTTATGCGTTTGCCCTTATAGTTTGTGAGCTCACAGCACATTAAAGTTTCAAGAAGAAGCAAGAAGTTGTATTTTAGGAGATGGTCTGAGGAGAGGACGGGGGAGGTGTTTGAGGAGTTTATGGAGAGAAGATATGGTGAGATGTTATGGTGTGATGGTTGGGGAAGCAGGCATGGGGAGATTGTTAAGGGATTTGAGGACACATATGCAGATAGATGGACCTGTACAGATGATAAAAACTGCACTTTCCAATTTCTTGTTATATTTACCAGCATTTTGTATAGCTAAAGAATAGTTTTTCTTTTTAAATAGCACTGCATATTGGGTGACACAGTAGCTCAGTGGTTAGTATTGGTGCCTCACAGCTCTGTTGATGGGGGCTTGAATCCTAAACCCTGCTGTGCGTGGGACAGAAACCTCCCATGCTCTCCCCATGTTGCGAGGGTGTCCTTCTGCAAGCCAAAATCATGCTGTTAGGCTTGGTGTCTCTGAAGCACCAACTCTCCATGTAAGTGTTTAGCATTCTGGGTGTCAGGCTGGGTATTTTTTACATGCTGAAATAATGGTAATGAGACCTGATGTGACAATCTTTATTTTAAAAAATCTTCCCATCAGTGTTTAATCCCCACCATACCAATCTCAGTCTATTCATCTAATATGACGACCGTCCATTGTGTTTGCATAAAACCAGCCACAGAATCTAGGTGCATTTAAATAAAAATTAAAAATTCTTAGAGACGGCAGTGAGACTGAAAGACTGAAGTGCTTTATTGCCTCCTAGTGGACACATTTAACAAAAACTGGAAAATAATCTGGTATCAATATTAAAAAAAGCAATTGTATACAATTTCATTAATCTAGAATCCTAGGTAATGAAGAACAACATGCTCTAAGTTGAAGTTCAGCCTCTAACTGGTTGCGTCTGTGAGTTACTTTAAGGTATTGCAGAAGATTTGCCAGGAACAACAATCACATTATTACAATCCAGCATCATATTTCCACACTCCAAGGTGTTTGTAAGATCCTTCCTTTTCTTCTGGCCCCAGTGTTGGTCCATTTCAATGTACTGTGGCAGGAGAATCTGCAACCGCAGTTAATACATACTCTGTAGAATCATGACTTTCCTTCATGCTAGCTCCTATACATGAAGCTGTTAGGCTAATCATTGTGGAAATTACCCAGAGTGTGTGAGTGTGTTTGCACCCTGTGATGGACCATTGCCCCATCCAGTGTGTGTCCCATCCAGTGTGTGTCCCATCCAGTGTGTGCCCCATCCAGTGTGTGTCCCATCCAGTGTGTGTCCCATCCAGTGTGTGTCCCATCCAGTGTGTGTCCCATCCAGTGTGTGCCCCATCCAGTGTGTGTCCCATCCAGTGTGTGCCCCATCCAGTGTGTGCCCCATCCAGTGTGTGCCCCAGCCTTGTGCCCTATGCTGCCTGAGATAGACTCCTGGTGACCCTGACCTGGATCAGTGGGTAGAAGTTGGATGGATGTCTCCTTAATGACACAAACTTCTCAATACCATCCTTCACATCTTATCAATACTAAAATCTAGATGCCAGAGTACAACTTTTCCTCAACCTTTAAAATATGTTTCACTCTTGAAATTCAAAAATTTCTCACACAAACAAGCAGCGATGAGCATCTACATCTAGAAGGACTCCATGTTCCATATTCTTCGTAACATCACATCTTTAATGCATTTAGTGTCACAGTTGTTTTTCATAATCATGAAACCATAAAACCTATCAGAAATCTTTTTATGAAGCTTTTTAATTTCCAGCAGCTTTTTTCCTGAGATTTATTTTGGTCTGGCTCACAAAGATCGTTTCCAGTAAAACATTGTTATCTCTGGTTTTTTTCCAGCTCTGCATTTTCATGAAATTAATACAAGGAGGGTTCAGGCCACCGGTTGTTTTCTCTGATCTTGTATTTAAATTTGATCTCTTACATCAATGATGTTACTCATTTCTACAAAACCATGCATCCTAACGGTAGGCTGAAGACAGACCGACCACCTACAACTTAAGGAAAACCAGTGGTTTGTCTACAAAAGTCAGTACAAAATTAGTTTTTCAGAACTATGGCTCACTATCGTAACATTTAAGTTTAAAAATTCACAACTCAGTCACATTAATCCTAAAGAAAATGACAACTGAGTTTTCCAATTAATTGAAATCTTGTTCACTGTGTGAGTGTTGAATTTAGCTACTCATTGAAACGGCACCAATGTTAAGCAATGGATTGTTATGATCTTCAACTTCAGAAACACAATCAACATTATTCTCTGACTGAATGTTATCACCCAGGCATAGAAATGAGAGATCTGTGGATTTTCTCATCTGTGGTTTAAAAACAGTACCCTCTTATACAGCCACTGCAAAAAAACAGCAACTGATGACTTAATAAAGCTGCAGTTTTTTTGTGGTGCAGTCTTACAGCACTTTGGGAAATTAATACTGGTGATCTAGAGATCCTCAATTTATTAACAGATTTGTCAAACTTAATACTCCAATTCTAAATCCCAAGACGGAAACAGCTTCATTACTGTTAAGAGATGACATTTACTACTCAAAATGACCTATCCAAATAGCCATTTCGAGTTGTAATAGCCCCTCTCTGCTATTAAATTTAACGCTTATAATGCGTTCGTCTTGGAGACCTCCTTTCTGAAATCTGAAACTTTTAAAAAGTACCTGCTCTAAAACCATCATGTTCGGGAATATTTGCGTGTTTGTTAGCTGCAAAGTATTGTCAAGTGTTGCTCGCTGATAGAGACAAGCTGATCGACTGTATATTCTCTATTTTTAGTCTCACACGTTTTATCGGAAATGCACTGATTTCCAGTCTAATTCTGCTAAATACATTTGCCTTTCCCAGGGATGGATTAGGCTCCACCTGGCACTTGCTTGCTCTTTCATCCATCCTTCAACATAAACATGGCATGATAGATACCATCTTGTATGAATAGGCATAATCCTTGTAAACAACAAGAGAATGAAATTTAAAAAAAAAAACGTAATATTGGACATCAGCAAGTTATTTAAGTGGTTTGCTAAACCTAAAGCAGACGTCTGAGGATGGGGGACTAAAGTAGTCTGTCCATTAGTACATGAAAGAATGTTCCTATTTTTCTTTCCTTTTTTACTTCATTAAGGGCAGAAAAGCTTTTAGTTGCATACCAGCTTTCCACATGAGATCTCATGAAGAAGCCTTGAGTTCCCGAGATGTGTATAAGTATTCTTTGTGGTATACTGTTCGGAGGCAGGTATTCTACATGGAAAAGTCATATGACAACTAGTCTTAAGTCGGCTAGTGGGCTTTGGATAAATCACATGGTTATTAAGGGTCCAAAGCACGTAGTGCTATGGACCATTATTTTACTCATAATTTAAAGACTAATCAAAATCAAAAGATAAGTACTTCGGGATGATCTCCAGAACCAATTAATTTAAAGTTCAACTTAAAAACTTTTAATTGCTGCATTATAGTATCCACATTTATATAGTTTTCCGAATGTTGGGGTTTTGGGGAAAGTCAAATGGATCGATCTATCACCCCCCTTTTTTACGGTAATGGAACATGCCGTTTCCGGTCGGAGGAGCGCGCGAGCGCGTTGTGTATATGAGACTGAATATGGCGTCGCGTTCCAAAGCAGGTGAATTTGCTTACTAGTTAGATAAGAATGGTTAAATCAAACACATTAACAATTTGTACGTATAATTATGCCTACTTAAGAAGTCGTTTGATTTAAGTTGCAATCAGATAAGGAATAAGTATTTTTAAGGTATTATGCTATTTATATTAGTTGTACGATTCATTCATTATTAAAGCAAAATAGTACTGTGTATAATAAGGGTTATAGGCAATCAGGTGGGTTCCCGTCAGATTGGGTTGAGCGAGAGATGGGTGCTCGAGATGTGTGTTGAAAGTTTGTGGAATAAGATAAATTTCATTATGCTCTGACGAACGAGGATTAGTCTATCACCATTTAAGTATCAATGTGGGAACTGCCATAGATTTACATACGAATTTACTTGAAGGTGGTCAGAATTTTTAAGTCAGTGCACAAGTAAGGTGCTCAGTCAATGTGCAAAGCTAAACGCGGGCTTCTCTTTCAGGAGTTAAACATACGTAAACATGCACGCAGTACACTGCCATCTTATTCCCAGTTTAGCGCAGTATCAGCCTGCTTCTCGGCTACCGTTTATGCCGCACTGGGTTCATGTCGAAGCCTCGGCTGCTGCGGTCCTGCTGAATTTTTTTGCCAGGTCTCATTTTGTCCACAGCTGCTAGGCAGAAGCGAAAGGCTTCTCCTGAGGGAGCGGGAGAAGACGTTAAAAAGAAGAAAGTGAATGAGGAGGAAAACCAGGTGGAAGAGGAGGGCCAGAGGATTGTCATTGAGCACTGGTCAGTTGTTTTGCAAAAGCACTCTTGGTTTTCTCCTTAACACATCTTACTCTCCTTAAACCACCGCCTCTGTCACTTCTTACTAACTCTTAAGTACTTGTGCATTATCTACCATCGAGATTCTTGATAGACTTTCTGCTATCTGGCCCATCACCCAAAAGTGTGTGGCTGTCCTACCTATTAAAAGAGGTACTTGATCTGAATTTCCTGCTGTAAAATGCACAGCAGTGCAAATGCTCAAAATGTAAAAGTGAAATAAGCACCTTACTGTTGATTAATAGCAGTTGCTACGATATGGATAGCGCACCGTGTCGCTAATTGTGGTCCTTATACCTGATACATCTGATGCAGTAAAAGCTGACGCGTGTACGGGCGTCATGCGGAGGGGGTGAGGGCTGCCCTCACGGAAGCCTTCTCCGACTTGAAGGTGCAGCTTAACCCCCAGAAGCCCAGACGCAACAGCTTTGAGGTCACTCTCTTTGTCAAGGGTGAAGGTGAGTGGCAGGTGGGAGATCATGGGGAGGTGGGGTCAGCTGGAATAATCCAGCCATCTGTGGGTCACAGAACTACTTTCATGAAAAGGTGGCTTGCCTAATACAGGGTTCCCCCTGGAGTTTGATTTCAATTCTTCACTTTTCTTTGTATTTTTGCTTCTACTAATCAAATTCTTCACTTTTTTTCAGCATCCGTTTTTTTTAGTCACTCTCTCGCCGCTTCTTAATAAATTAATCATTAAACCTTTTGCTTATAATGGGCGTCAATAGAGGGGAAACCGCTTAACGTAGTATAAAGTCCTTATTCTTAGCATTTCGGTTTAGATTTCTTGTCAGGTGAAAGTGTTTATGACCAGATATATGTGTGAGAAATATAGTGATTTTTGGTGGCTGTCTTGGTACATTAAACCACATTAAGCATTTTCACATTAAGCGTTTTAGAATGTCCCCACACTGATCGATAACATTTGCTACTTTTAAAACGGCCCATGCTCATTTGACATGGATGATTGACGTTCGTGTGTCCGGGGCGCCGGGCCAGTTTTGATTATGCCCTACGTGTGCTACGGTTGAAAATTGGGAAAAAATGAAATTCGACTTTTCAAAAATTCAAAATTCGTCATTTGAAAATTGAATTCGCCAGAGTGACGATTTGATGCCGTTTTTCTTCGTCACCATGGGTTCCGTTTTCGTCAATGGCGAGAGTGACGAGCGGCAGCGGGAACCCTGCTAATATGGTGTTTCGAGATAATCTGAAAATGTTTTGATATGTGATGGTCTGCTTAGTTTGGAAGCATTTAATTTAAAATCATGAAAACACAAGTTTAAAAATTGGAATTCTGAATGTAATAAATCACCATATGAAACCTCCTCGTAGACATTTGAATATGTCTTTGGATACATCTAAGTCACATGCTGCTTCTGGAATAAATCCGGAAATTCCTGTGTAAGTTTGTAAGGGTTCATCTCAGTAAAAATTAAGCTTCAAATGTGCAGATTTGTTTCTAACAAAGGGCATGTGAAAAGACTGAACCAAAAAGATGAGCATGATGCATCTAATCGGCTATGCTGTTCCCATTTTTCCTTTCACAGAAGTGTGTCTTTGGTCGGGATTGAAGAAAGGTCCCCCTCGCAAACTCAAATTCCCTGATCCTGCAGTGGTGGTATCTGCTCTGGAGGAGGCACTGAAGAGTCAGTAAAGCATAGTGAACAGACGGTAAAATCATCCTAAGCCAATTATCACTTGGATGTGAAAACTTCCATAAACTCTTGAGGAGTTGTTTCGCTCTTTCTTACAAGTTGTATAAAGTTAACTCTTGTCATTGTAGATAATCTCAAGCTTTGTGCTTTGTATTCATAATCATGCTGTTTTGATGTTACTCCTTACAGCCAGTCATCTCCTGAGGTGCCTTGTCATTGGCTGCATTATGATGAGGACTAACGAATGGGACGTTGCCCAGTTATTCCTTTGAGGATCTTGCTGCTCATGTATTGGACCTTGATGGTGGAGTCATTAGTTCCATATGTTATATGTAATTAACATGTCATAGTGATGTGCTTTCATTTTTTTTTTTGGAATAAATGCCAAAAATGTGTGCTTTTGTCAATGGAAAATAAAGGAATTCTGTTTATAAAATTGTTTTTTTTTTTATTCTTTAACAGTTGCCGTCATTTTAGAATGTCTCCTACTTAAATGGACCCTTTCCCCTTGATAGTGCCTGTGACTATCAGAAAGGTATGTGACACAGATGTATGGAGGGGAAAAAAAGCTAAACGGCTAAAAAAGATAAATGAGAATGTTTACATAATCGTTCAAATACAGTTCCTCTGGTGTAAAATCCAACAGTTCAAAAATCGTCTTAGTTTAAAGCAGGGGTAACCATCTGCCGGACTCTGGTCTGCATCCGGAACGAAACACAATTGAATCCAGATTACGCAATTGATTACCTCCCCTCAGTGGACATTTTCCCCCCCTAGACCTTGGCTTTGTGTTGCTGATGGAATTTGGTCCCTGGGGGAAAATGGGTTGGAACCTCTGCTTTAGCGTCCAGGTGTAATTTGGACCAGGGATGTGTTCTGTGCCAAAGTGTCATTCAATTTTGATATGATTTATAGTTAGCTTTTGTAAACCATCTGGAAATAATAGGGTGGCTTTAATGTTTTGTTTTCGGATTTGCAACAATTCACTTAGAAAAATAAATCTGGTGCTTGAAACATTTTACAAAGTGTTTAGGAGAATAAAACTTTGACGTAGCTCGATAGGGAACAATGGAGAGGAAAAAAAAGACGCCAAACATGCTTTTTGTGCCTTTAGGGCTTTTACTAAACCTTTAAGTATCTAAATATGACAGCAAAATGCTTTCAAAATGGTAATGTATATGGAATTTTGAAAAAAATAAGTGTTAGTTGATAAAGGATTTATGCGAGATGTGTGGTTTGTTAACTTAGGAGAGGGATTTTTTATTACCGATTAACGGTACTTTGGGGAACCTATACGACCTTACGTATATTTTACGTATAATACGTATATGCGTATAATAGTGTTCTGCCAATAGCTGAAAGGTGCCTCCAAGCCACAAATTAAATCTTTTTATCATGGAAGTAATTGTATGGGTGAAATGATTCGATGTCCTGGAAGTCTGATCTTTACCAAGAAAGATACCCAAGTATTTAACCGTATGCTTGTCTGGAATCCCAAAAATGTTTAGATCTGAGCGTTCGTAATCGAAGTTTTCGACTATTGGTTTAGATATATGTGACGTCATCATTCTGAGACGGACGTAGGTGCAGCATAGGGCCCCGTCGTGTTCCGGCTGTGTCGCGAGCACGGGTTTTCATTAAAGTAAGAATAACTTGTCTTGTACTTTTATTGACCGAACAAATAAAGATACTATCATGTAGTTTGATTGTGTTTAAGCGTTTTCTTCTCTTGTTTTTTTTTTTTTTTGGGGGTGGGGGGTATTTTTTTTGTGTTTTATTGTTCCCGAACAGTTAACCGGTGGAATTTCATTACAGAGTAGCAAAAGTTCAGTTTGTTTACAATGGATAGTTATTGTACAAATGATATGGGCAGTAGCTCTGTTTTTATTATGTGCTTGTCTTTTTAGGATGCTTAGACTTTGTGTAACGTCCCATTAGTTCACGTTGTTCCACGTGCAGCTAATCTTTCTCGTAGACGCACCGTTTTTTAAAAAACTTTTGTATTATAGCTGTAGTCATGACGACGGAAGGTTCCGAGAAGTCGGGTGAGGAAGGAGTCGGGACCTCAAGCGGTTCGGGCGGAGGTGGCGTGCGATTCGAACTGGAGAAAGAGACAGAGCTACGCTTCGAGGTGGAGGCTGGAGAGAAGGTCCAGCTGGAGCTGCTGTCAGGATTGGCCGAGGTCTTCGGCTCAGAGTTAAATCGGAACAAGAAGTACACGTTTGGGCCTGGATCGAAAATCGCCGTGTTCACCTGGCAGGGCTGCAGCGTGTCACTGACAGGAAAAACTGAGGTATGACATGTTGGTTAGTCTTCTTGCAATTTCTTGTGATTATTGAATTAACATCTGTATTTTTAAACCACCTGTCTGTGATTTCCCATCCAGGTGGCCTATGTTTCCAAGGACACCCCCATGCTTCTGTACTTGAACACCCATGCTGCACTGGAGCAGATGAGGCAACAAGCTGAGAGGGACAATGAGAGAGGGCCTCGGGTTAGTCTGGATGTATGTGTATCTGGGTGTGGTTTGCTTACCTTGTCTGTTTGCATACTGTGGATCGTCGGCCCAGTGTTTTGTTTCGCCAGACTGCATATGAGGCTCGCAGAAAAAGCTGTTTACTTTACTTAGAGTGATAAAGCTATTGGTAAATAATCAGGTTATACAGTACATGGGGACAAGCCCTCTTTACAGTCCTGTCTTGGTGAGCTGTAGTGCTCTCATCCATAGGTGATGGTGGTAGGTCCCACAGACGTGGGGAAATCCACAGTGTGCCGACTGCTGCTGAGTTACGCCGTGCGGTTGGGCCGGCGCCCCACCCTGGTGGAGCTGGACGTGGGGCAGAGCGCTGTGAGTCTGGTGCCTTTAACCTCTTTATGAGTGTATTACTAATGTAATGGACCTCAGCGTATGAGGGGTGCACCTTTTCCTGCTTGCCATTGTTTTCCCCAAAGATATGTTGCATAAGATTTAGACAGTAGAGCCTTAAACGTCCTTCCTGCCGTTCCAGGTGTCTGGAACGCTGTGAGTCTGGTGCCTTTAACCTCTTTATGAGTGTATTACTAATGTAATGGACCTCAGCGTATGAGGGGTGCACCTTTTCCTGCTTGCCATTGTTTTTCCCAAAGATATGTTGCATAAGATTTAGACAGTAGAGCCTTAAACGTCCTTCCTGCCGTTCCAGGTGTCTGTCCCCGGCACGGTGTCGGCCCTGTGCATCGAGCGGCCGGCTGATGTGGAAGAGGGCTTCTCTGTACAGGCCCCATTGGTGTTCCACTTCGGATCCACCACACCGGGAACTAACATCAAGCTCTACAACAAGGTGGAAGGCGACCGAATCGCTGCCTCACCACCACAATGAGCAGCAAACGCATGCATTCATGCGTATGAACATGCATTCTGTGGTTTTATTGGACCGTCGTGCATGCAGCCACAATTCAGCCGCATGCACAGTCAGCAAAGTAGCAGGAGGGAAAATTCAGCATAGGCAGTCTGCTTGTGTGTTATTGTTTAACTCAGTTCATTAACAGAATTAATCATTGTATTTATGTTGTTAAATTAGAATCTAAAACTGCCGAATTTAAATTTCATTTGAAAATTTAGGAAGCAAATTTAATTGCATTTAACTTACTTCTATAAATTAACGTCTATAAATTACATGATTTCCATCTTTGAAAAACATTTACCACGGATTACTACAAAATGTAATACACTTTTTAATACTTAAAATATGATTGCTTTTTCATTATTATTTTTTTAGTGAACATGACCAGAAATGTTGCTCTTTTTTGTTTGTAGTGATGTGATAAGGATACACTTTTTAAATGATTGACACACATTGATACTGTAGGATAAGAACTGCTTCACTTTAAATTTAAATATCAGTTGTAGGTTGGCTGGAGTCCATTCTGGTCCCTATGGCTGTTTTGCAGTTGATGGAGTGTGTTGTACTCAGGGTTGTCTCCCTGTGCCTCCAGCTGACCTCCAGCCTGGCGGAGGTTTTCTCCCAGCGCTGTGAAGTGAACCGGAAGGCCAGCGTGGGCGGCTGCATCATCAATACCTGCGGCTGGGTCAAGGGCTCGGGCTACCAGGCCCTGGTCCACTGCGCCTCGGCGTTCGAGGTGGACGTGGTGCTGGTGCTGGACCAGGAGAGGCTCTACAATGAGCTGAAGCGCGACCTGCCACATTTTGTCAAGGTGGTCCTGCTGCCTAAGTCGGGCGGGGTGGTGGAGCGCTCCAAGGACTGCCGGCGGGAGGCACGAGACGAGAAGATCCGCGAGTACTTCTACGGGTTCCGCGGAGTCTCCTTCTACCCCCACGCCTTTGACGTGCGCTTCTCGGATGTGCGCATCTACAAGATCGGCGCCCCCTCCATCCCGGATTCCTGCCTGCCCCTGGGGATGTCTCAGGACGACACGCAGCTGAAGCTGGTCCCCGTGACGCCGGGGAGGGACTTGACGCACCACGTGCTGAGCGTGAGCTGCATGGAGGACGAGGCGGAAGCAGGCGCGGGGGGGACATCGGGCCCGAGGAGGGGGGTGTTGGAGAGCCCTGTGTGTGGCTTCATCGTGGTGACAGCCGTGGACACCCAGGCCCAGGTGATGACGGTGCTGTCACCGGCCCCGCGGCCTCTGCCCAGACACACGCTGCTCATCATGGACATCCGGTTTATTGACCTCAAGTGAACCCAACGGAGGATCAGCGGAAAGGGGGAAGAGCCACATTTTTAATTATGCAGAAGGATATACTTTTCATTCACCTAACCCAGTCACTTATGCGTTCAAATTCTGGGTCTGGTGTTTAGATGACTCATATTCTCTGAAATATGTTCCTTTTCTAATCCACTTCAGGTTTTATATTGGGATTTTTTTGACAAAAATATTTTAACCTGATTTTTTTTTTGTGCTTTGTAGATGCTTTTATTATTTGAATACAAAGTTGTGTTTCACTAATATATACTAATTGGATTTTTACAGAAGTCCTCGTGCTGGTTCAGGTAAAACACCAAGAACACAATCCATTTTGTTTCTAATGTATCTGCATCTTACTGGTTAGAGGTTTGTGAAATATTTTTCCATTGATGCAGAAACACCAGTGAGTTTTCCCCTATCAACTTCAGTTAGTGCAGGCGTATGACAAGCTGTAAGTCAGGTGGTTCACTGCATACAGGAATCTGATCTTCCAGTTTGTCGGATATAAATGCTGCAGTGGAAAATTAGCTATGTAAAAGTTTTATATAAAATAGTTAAATGACCAACTTACAAATACAGATGTCTGTTTGGTTTGTTTTTCTTAAGAAAATAAATTGATTGAAAAACTGGTTTTGAGATAGAAATTTTGAATGGAACGCATTTGAGTCCATTGTAATGCAGGGTCTTAGTGTAGTTTTCCCAATATACCAGCAGAAGGAGCCAAAGACTTCGCCTGTATTCTGTCAAAGGGCATTTATTGTACAAGATGCAGCGAATATTTGTGGTTTTGCATGTGTTCCTGTCATTATAGGGAAGCTGTAGAGATGGTGACATTTTCATCATACATCATTTGTTTACTCAAACACCGAGCCTTCCATATGTAGAAACGTTACTTATCACTAACTGGTAGTGGAATTTAAACAATATACTTAATCTGTTATTACATTATAACATCTACAAGCAACCTGGTATCTTTAAAGAAGTGATTTAAAAAAAATCTTTTGTCACTCATGCTGCCCATCTCATACCAAGACCAACGCACACGTATCCAATATTTAATACTGCTTTCATATACTGATCGTAAATTTATAAAGCAACAAATGATAACTTCAGTCAGGCTTGGGAACATAGATTTTCCTGTGAAACAGACTGTAGTTTATATTTACAAAATTAGTTCAGCTAGAAATAAAAACAATTTATTATTAGTGAATCCAATGCCCATAATCTGCCAGAGATGCTATCTTCATAAAATGCAGTAAGATACAGGTACAAAAGAAAACATCCAATATAGTCAATGGCGTTTCTAAGAATTAAAATAGCTGGAAACATTATATAATTCACACCAAACTAGTAAAACCGCAAATCAATCTCCAAATGAAAAATATCAGGACAAAACTCAATTTTTATTTACAGGAATCCTGTTTTGTTGAGATTGGTTACTTTATTTTCATCGTGGTCAGAATCTCACACCGGCGAGACTTTTAGGACTTGTCTCTGGATCAATGATGACAAACTTTTGCAGACATATTTCAAACACTACGTTCTTGGAAAAAGATCGCCCATGATGTCTTCCGAACAAAAGTGAAACGAAACATTGACAGTGCGGTGCTGCTTTTTCTTTCTTCTTTATTTCTTGAAAGAAAACAGGTTGCATAATGCAATTCCACTGAATTCCATAGATGATTTCACCGATAAAAACAAAATATTGTGGTCATTTGTAAACTTAAAATTGCCGCAGTGTTTGAAGAACCAGATGTTATTATTGCTGCAGAAAACACCACCTCATACCCAACTATTTAAAAACTTAAAATAACAACTTAATAAATGCACACTACCGCTTTCCTCAAGCTCTCGTCGCATATGTTCCAGGCAAGATTGTTGGGATCGGGAATAGAGATCGTTGTCCCCGATTCTGTATGGCTGGAAACCCGCGTCGATACCAGTATCGTCGTCCTATTGACGCGGCGCGTGTGATAGACAAGGCGAACGGGCCAATGGTCGTAGGTGCGCGCGAAGTGTCGCGAGGATTGGGCTGACGCCGTCGGGTTGGCTCGGCTCGAGACGCTCTCTCCGGCTGTAGACTTAGCTTAGCTTAGCTGCCCGACTCTCCGGGAGTTAAAACAAAATCCAGCTCAAGATGTCTAACGTCGTGAGGAAGTTCTTCGCCGGGCAGCGGTGAGGGCGACGCGCCCGGAAGCCGCACGTACCGTGTAAGTAGAGAGCCGTCCACACCTTTTCTTCGCCTTGTTGTTTTTTCCCCCTTTTTTTCCTTAACAAAACACGGCTGACTGAAAGCGAAATACGAGGCGGCGCTTCCGTCGAGCTACACGGCTAGGAAGCTTTAGCCGCCCGGCTAATGCCGTTTCGGGCTGAAATAGATTAGCCACCTGGGTGTGTTGGCGACCAAATCTGCAGAGGGCTGTTAGGGGGGAAAAAACGTGAAAACCTGTTTAAACCTTATCAGCCTGTTAGAGTCGTCGAGTGTGTGTACGGGGAGCGCACGGACATCGAGTGACACGTTTCGGGTAACGTTTGAGCTGATCGGATAAGCTGGTTTAAGATGAAGTGTGGGGCACCTAGACGTCCGAAGCGTCTGTAAGCAGCTGTCTGTCACCGGACGTCAGGTATCTCCTCAGTCTCGCGAGGGACACTGGACCGTGGAGGTGCAATAAAAATAAACGTATTCAGTCCGGCTTGTCATTAGCAGTTAAGGAAGGCAGCCGTCTTTCGCTTATTAAAGTAAGATTAAAAATATACATTGGCGGAGCCTTGGGAACAGGGAGGTGGTTCTGAGTCGGCAATCCCCGCCTGAGGGCCCGCTGACACGCCAGGCTTCGCGGCCGCGCCCGGCCCCGGCCGATGGAGCACCGGTCCGCCGTTTCAGGGAATCATAGGAGAGGCCCCGCCTGTGGGTCCGCAGAGGCGCACACCTACATGGTCCCGCAGGTATTTTGTTGCCGTTGGTTCTTAGAGACGTTTTTCCAGCAGTATATTTTGAGGGCAAGCGGCGTGTCCAGTTAATTACTTGGAAAAGCGTTCCGTTTATATATATATATATATATATATATATATATATATGCGCCTATGTGTGTGCAAGTAGAATGTGATCTGTTTCGTATAGAAACCCTAACATTTTGTTTAAAGCGGCAAAGTGCACACACACTACTTTAATTTTCCACCTAAATGGCTCGATGCAGCCATATTTAGATACTTTATTCTACAGTTAAATAATAATCTGAAGCAAATAGCCAAAGGTCGTGCATTTAATTTGCTAAATAATTCCTGCCTTGGCGATACGTAAGCGACTGAATAATAGACCGATTATGCAAACTGTGGGAGATCCTGTTTTTTTTGCGTGTATTCCGTTTTGGTTGATATGAAATTGTTTTAACTCTGCCAATTTCGGGTATCGTGATAACGTTGTGTCATATTACTTAGTCATTTTGGTCGTTTTGGAAGATGGTTACTTTTTACTGTTTGTTGCTATTGTTTCCAGGTGACTATAGAGCGACTGTGAGCAGTTTGAGTTTTCGTGTAACATGCTAGATATATACTGTCAGCAGAAATCCCAGTAACGTTGCACACGTACCGTTGGGTGTGAGTATATGTGGACAGGCACTTGCTGGACGTATAGCGGAATGGACTTTTAGGGAGTGGTCTTTGACATGTGCAACCTGTTCTAATGGCGCTAATCAGAAATCGTTTTAAAGAACCAAATAAATTATAATATTAAACGATAATCATAAACTCGAATTTGTGATTTAAGCATGCAAAATAGTGTTTAATCTGTATTGTAATAATCTTAAAATCCTGATGTGCCTATTGTTTTGCAAAGTTTTCTGGTTATTTAATGTAATGAACCGACCTGGAAAGATGTTAAAAATTCAGGTGATTTTATATTGTCTTGACATCGTGGGAAATGTGAAGTCTGTGCAACCTCTTGTTTCATGTCAAGGAAATGGGTCTCTTGAGATGCAAGCAGAAAGTAAACAAACTCCCACTTCGCGTTGTAATGTTTTCTTAATGGAAGGTGTTGCTTATCTAATATAGATATAAGGAGAGCTGTCATATGGAAGCTTAAATCCAGGTGACACAGCATTTATGAACATGGACTTTTAACTTAATGGTTTCTGGTTCTGGTCCCAGGAGGGTCTATTCTGCTGTACACTGGTAGCTCACAAGCATTGTTCTGGTAAAAAAAATACTTGGGAGCATAAATGAGTAAACTCTGAAGTGCATTTGAATAACTGCATGAAATGCTCTGTGACCTAGCCTCTGAAAGATCATGGGATTATATGTAATACAAGTAGGCTGGACCACAGATGACTACAATTTTATCCCAGGTGCTTAAAGGGAAGGCAGTTATTTAGAGGCCTATGGAAAGCTGTGTGGGTGTCTCAGTATCCCAGTGGGTAGCACTGTTGCTTCACATCTCCAGGGTTGAGGGTTAGAGTCCCACCTTCTATGTGTGTGGAGTTAGCATGTTCTCCCAGAGTTGTGTGATTTTCCTCCCACAGTCTGAATACACCCATTCAGGCTGGTTGGCCTTTATAAGTTACCCATAGTGTGTGTGTCCTGCAATGGACTGGCATCCTATCCAGGGTATACCCCAGGCATGTGCTGTATGCTGTCCTGGGTAGGTTCCAGGTCCCAGGGCAACCCTGACCAGGATAAGTAGTTGGGAGTTGGATGGAAGCAATGGTGTCTTTCATCAACATTAAATAACTTTCACGAGCAGTATTAGCATCATAACTATTGTAGCATGTAGAAAATTAAACGGTTATAAAATCTGTGCCAAATGTGATTTCCCTCCCCCCAGTTTTTAGCCATAAGTTTTTAAATTCTGTTTCCAGTTGATTGTGTGAAGTGTACTGGGATAAAATAATTTCAGTACTGACACACTTGTGAATCCAAGTATGCATTCAAATGCAAATTAATCTTAAGAAATTGGTTAGTTACACCGTTTTCTCTATAGCTGTGTAATGCATTCTGATTACTCTGATCACTTTGCTCAGGCATTATTGAATATTGATTTCTAAATTAGACCAGTTTAGACCGGTTACTGGCAGAAGCATTATATAGTGCTTTATGTAATTAAATATATTTGATAAACGTGTATTTCAGGTATTCTGTGGAGACCTAGATTCTGTAACCTTTGACTTGCGTCCTGAAACATTACAGTTCTGTGATTGCGGTGAGCATTATAGCTGTAGCTTTGGCCGGGTGTTAACCTTAAACACCACTGCTTATAGCATTAGCAAAGTGTTCTGTCGGATCTTGGTGCATGTTATGTTAATACCTCAGCTTTGACAAAAAAAAAACGTTAAGTGTTCACCGCACCTTGCTCAAATTTTGACACCTCTTTGTAAATTGTGAGAGATGACATGTTAGGTACTGGTTTCAGTTTTGCTTTAACTTAATCATCGAATCTGTTTTGAAATGTGAGACATGCCTTATCCAACCCACCTGCCATACACTGAGTACCTTGATAGTGTAATGGAATGAGTCCTTGTATGGTCATGACAATATTTGTTCTAATATATAGGAGAACTTAGGAGAGTTTCCTGTTATGTAATGTAAAATGTTTAGCTGCCTGCAGATGTAGGCAGTCAAATAGATATCTGTCAAAAAGTGTCATTGTGTCAGTGTCACTGTCATTGAAATGAACTTGTAGATTAAGTAATATTAATACGGCCTTCATGTATATTTTATCATATAAAGCTGTTTATTAACAATGAATACAAATGGTGTTTCTTTAAATCTTAAAATGAGTAACTATTACATATATTTCAACACGTGCCTGTAAACATCGTATTAAGACAAGTTTTGAACTTGCTACACCTAATCCAGTTCATCCTGCCGGTTTACTGTTGAAATGTGACTTAGATATGCAAATGAAGTGCTGTAGTCTGAGGACTCGCATTGGTTTGGCGCTGGTTGAGAACATCTGTAAGAACATTTCATTTGACCCGTGTGATGCAGAATTTGAGAGCATTGTGATATAATTGTAATTTGAGGTAGGTTCTGTCCAATTTATCATATTATATTTATTATATTATTTTTTTTGTTTTAATAAATCCTTGATGAGGTCAGTATTTGCCTAGACCGAAGTTTACATTTGATAGTTTAATAGTTAATTATTATGAGATGACATTAAGGTGGTTAGATGTGAACAACCCAAGCAGTGCTGGCTGAAAGTGTCATACAGGATTTCTATATGTATCTGCGCGACATCCAGGCTCACCTTTGCAGAGAGAGGTTGACACCCTTTTCCCGGTGAGTCAGTGTTTTGATGAAACAGACCGAATAGGCCACTATCAGGTTTCAATACGGCTACCAAGTGGGTCACGCTGTGCTTCCAGCCCTAGCGTTGCAGAGCACCATGGGGAAGACGACCACCCCCTCACCCTGCTGTGATGGGGGAGAAAGTTTTCGGTCTTCATTCGTCTCCCTGCCCTGGTTCTTATCTTGTTCAGTCTTCTTGAAGGAGCTTTTCTTTTAATTAATCAATTCATTGATTCATTATTTTGTCTCCCTTTTTGCTCGCTTTTTCGTTTTTTTGTTTGACTCATTGGTTACGCCTCATTCTCAGTCACATTGCCAGAGTTTTTTCTGCTGCTAGCTTTGCAGAGTCCTCTCCTGCCGATTGTGTGCCAGCACACTGTCATCCGTCTGTTCTACCTGGCAGTTTGAACAAGGCACTGACTTGTTGTTTCACAACACTGAAATCTTCTAGGCATAGATAATTATTTTTTTTTTTTTGAATGCTAAACAGATCTCATAGCATTGGTACCCTGTCTCCCCCTGTGTGTTTACACACACACACACACACACACACACACACATGAACTGAGAGAATTGTGCAACAATGCCTTGTGCGCTGCAAACACACTTGGGCTCCTGAGTAGTGCCAGACGAGAACCAATACGATTGTGTTGACACACGAGTGGTGAAAAAGTGAATTCACAGGGAGGCCACAACAGTAGGGCAACTGTGTGCAGCTGGTAAAAACCGGAAACGTTGTTAGACGTTCCAAACGAAACGGCCCCTCCCTTGAAGAAAATAAAGGCATCCCCTGCCCTCAGCCTGTGTCACCAGAGTCCTTAAAATCTCAGGCAGTTCATGGAAGAAAGCTGCTTTTGGTTCCTTTACCTGTAGAGAAGAGACCTGAATTTAATGAATGCAAGCTTTGCTTGTTTTTTTTTTGACAAGTCTCTTAGTTTGTTATATTTATTATGATTTATGAATTAATGTGTTGGTGTGTGCAGGAACATTAATGTCTGACATTATCAGCAGCGCTTTTTCTGTTTCAATAACTGCACAACTGAATGCTAGAGGCCAGAGCTGCACATGCTAGTTTCACATGTGTTGTGGGGACAGTCCTCAGCAGGAAAATCATACGGTTGGTCTTGATTTTTTTTTATTTTGGTTTTTCTTGTCTGTGGTGGGGGGTTGAATCTCTCATTTAAAATTCACTGCCCGTGCATGCTGTTGTTTGTGATTTTCTCAGTCATGTTGTGTGTTTTTCCTAATGTTTGTAACACAGCAGTAAGTAAACGATGTATGTTTTCCTGTGCACTGTTGCCTTTTTGGTGACACAAATTGCTTTTGACGTCAGTTGGCAACCATTGGCCTCTTTCTGGTTTGTACAGGAGCGATACATTGCCCGGGGTCAGAAACTGCTGCACGTCTGAACAACGGAAAAGCGAATTAGCGCCAGAACTAACCAAACTGCCACTGAGAACACAAACCTGTTGGGTTTTGTCTGTGGATTTCCAACTACTCCAACGCCTTCCTCTGGATTATCAAGTTTTACCATTTGCTTCTCCAGTCAATCTGGGGACTGCTGATTTTGATGGACCCAGATATCACTGAGTGACTAAATACTTTCAATCAATGTATTTGGTAATTCAGGAAGGCTGTATTATGGCATAAAGTTCATCACTCAATACCATAACATGGATTATTTTTTGTACTTTTTTTCTTCCTGTGTTTTTGGGCTGTAAATTGGATAAAGTTGTGGTGATTTTTTTCCCCCCCACTAATATTTAATTTTGTCAAGACATGCTTCCACTAACTTTGACCTCCATTTATGGATATAAAAGTGTGCTGCTTTTTTCCTGAATTTCTACCAGTGTAGGACTTTGCGTTTATAAATATTGCCTGGAATGGTCTCTTTGATTCAGAATTCCCCTTTAACATTTGATCACAGCTCAGCACTATCCAAGCATAAATACATATGTAACATTTTTCTTTTGTGCAAAGTTTAATTTATTTTTTTATCTTGAAGCACATCCTTTGCTATACAATCCATGGGAAAGGAAAAGAGATAAGCCATTTTGATTCACTGTTGGTTATGTTGCTGCTTCTTTCTTACTTGAAAAAGCACAAAGCAGATCCCCTCTGCCAACTAAAACACCTAAGACTGACTGGAACCTGTTGAGTTGGAAAGTGCCTGCATTCACTCAGTAAGTAATTTAAACAAAAGGAAACCTTTACTTCCACGTTTGGGGCCTTTTAAGTTCAGCAGCCCCTAGTTTGTCTTGCACCCTGATTTTGTGCCAATAGGTGCTCTGGCCACATTGATCTTGTCATTTGGTGTCACCAAATATTTTATGGTTGCACATAAACACTTGGATTAGCTTGAGCACTTTGTTACCAGGAAAAGAATCAATACATTTTCCCCCTTATTAATAAAAGAACTGCAATCCAACACAACTTCTTGTACCTCCCAATTCTGAACACTTTTACCAAAACTTTCCCAGAGAGATCAGCTTCATCTTTGAAGGCTTTTTTTTTTTTTTTTTTTTGGACTTATTTTTATCAAATCCACTTGAGAGAAAACGGCTTCTCAGAAAGTCAGATGTTAAAGTAGGCGATTGGAGGGTTAAGTGGAAGGAGGACTGCTTGTACCTTGATTAGTTCCAGACCCTGCTCTGTGTTGGGCTGAGAAGAGAAGAAGTGGGAAGCAACTGCTGGGTGTGTTGGGATTTATTTTAATGGCAGGGTTCGACAGTGTGTTGCCTCGCGTCTGAGGCTGGGTTCAGCAGACCTCTGGTGGTTGGCTGGCTGGTGCGTGCAGCTGTTTTATTTTGCTTTTTGCTTGAGGTTTTTCAAAATCATCTCCGTTGAAGTTGCCAACTGTTAATTGACGGTCATGGAGATAAAGATTGATCATAATCATTAGGCAGATACAAATTCAATGTGCTGAACATTTGCAACTTCAATTTACTTGAACCCCTAGAGGGTTGTTTATCAGGGATTTTGAAATATTTTTATATAAACGTCTTTTTTTCTCTGATTTCGGCCAGTGCGCCCTGTTCCGCCATTTTCAGCCATTTTGCACAAGTGGATTGCTCAGTTGACATTTCGTCACTTTCTCCTGACTGACAGCTGTCCTGTAGTGATCAGCAACCCTGGCAGAAGATGTTGCAGTGAAGAGAAAAGTCACAGCATGCAAGTCACTGTGTAATGCATGACTTTTGAGGCCACAGTCAGTTCACATCTGCACAAATTTTAGTTGTAATATTTAATCAAATCCACAGCAAAAACACAAACTTGAGCAAGATTGCTTGCAAGATTGTATGCGTGTTTTTGTGGTTTTTGCTTTGACCTTTAATTGAACCAAAAGCCATGTTATAAATGTAACTTATTTTTATATTGGTGTATAAATTTTAACTGTACTTTGCACAAATCAAGCCCAGCTTTTCCCATTACAACATTCTTTTTTTCAGACTTTAAACAAGCTGGTAACTTTTTTTTTTTTTGATATAGCAATCTCTTCACTGTCCCTTTTCACTTCAAATCTAATCTAAAAACTGTAAGGAAACGTTAACTGCACTGGCAAAACCAAAGCATTACTTTTACACAGTGTGCCATTATTTTTTCAATTCAATTTTTCCTTTTCTTTTCTGATTTTTTGATACTTTATTTCACCCTTAAACATCTCTGCATTCCCTCTGGTGGTCTTTAACAGCCTGCACCCCCCCTCCCCTCCCCCGCCTCCACCCCTACCCTCCACCCCTCGAAAATGCCCAGGCTTTGGTGTTCC